CTGAGCAACTGAAAAAGCAGAATAAATTCCCAACCCTCCTTTCAGCCTTTGCCCAAGGAGTTCTATGAGCAACTGAAGTGGGTCTGCAAGCTGCAAAATAAACGTGCAAGCAAAGACTACCCAGTATGCTTAACCAGAAGTCAAGAGTTACATTCGACATCTCAATTAGTAGTTACATCTACATCATGCATGTACATTTATATATAAAGTGTTCCCATATTTTTAATTACTTCCAGCATGACTATGATTGCTCTTAATCAAAGTTAAGGAAAAACAGACTTCAAATGAATGTACAACACAATTCACCCAGCTCTGCAAGATTCTGCTGTGTTTAAGGCAGATGGGTTATTTTCATCAAACGGTGCCAGTTAACCTTTAATTTTGTAAAGTGGACAATAAGATAGCACTAAAGCCAGCACCTATTATAATAACCTGCAATCTTAAACTGGAGCTGTAACTAGCTCACTTTGGGGTCAAAAGAGTATGGTGTTAGCTTTTTTTTAAATTAACACATATGATTCACTGTGAACAAAGGAATCAGAGCTTTAATTTTGCCAGTTTGGGAAGAGAGAGTAAACTGATACCAGCCTTCAAGTGTTTTTTCCCAACTCTACCCGTGAGATCTATCAAAAGTAAATTAGGGGAAAGCAACTCAGAGCAGTATTTCCTCCCTTTTGAAAGGTCAGTCCAGACCATGTGAATATTCAGTTATCTTCATAAATGGTGACCTGGATTTTGGACATCAAAGGTTAGTATGACTGTGTGTTCAGAGAACTATATAATCTCAATGCATGTTGAATGTTGAACCTCCATGATGTTTGTTTTAAATACCTTCTAAGCACACAAAACTGCATCACCAAAAATCCACATAGGCTTCAGCAGTTACTGTTCACATCTTTACCTTCAGAAATCATGGAAAAACTGAGACAAGGTCTGTTCCAAAATACAGTGGAGGCCACTGAAGAGCATTTACAAACACAGAACCCAGATCTGATTTGTCCTTTGAGTCTGTATAAGAGGCCAAGATTCCTTCATTAAATTACTAAAAACATCTCCTGGACGAGCAGTTTCAGTGCTTAAAGGAGAAGCTTCAAGTATCAGCCAATGGAGCATCCACACAGCACTTCCTGAGAGACTTCATTAAAGGAAGCATACGAGGAAGAACAGGCTATAAAATAATGACCTGAGGCTTGTTTTGTTTCAAATACTTGTACCTCAGCATATTTGGTCATCCACACCCAAAATACACACCTATTTCTGTGCTAATTGGTTGTGCCTTAAGGCTGTTTTCACCTGCTTGCTTTTTGGAAATGGATGATTGGCTGGATAGTGCTTCATGATGTTTCAACTTGGCTTAATAAAATGGTGAGCATTTTATGCTGAGCATCTAGTGTTCTCTCTTTCCTGAATTTCTTAATTTTAACATGAATTCCTTTCTTTTCAGTATCTTTTTTGGCGACTGACCCACACAGACATTTTGACTTGAGCAGTACTTATTAGGACAAGAAAGGACAATCAGATTATGTCCAGACTCCAGATTTTGTAGAACTGTCACAGCACTATTCTAGCCAGTGAGACACCACCATTCCACATGCTCTTTCAAGCAGAATAAATACCAGTGTAGTTACTTCACTTGCTTGCAACTTTAAAGTAACCACATTCTTAAGCTATCCCAAAGCATGGAGGCTCTTGGATGGTAATTATTCATATTAGAGTCAGCCCTTCACCACTTTCTAGTTGGTGGCCCAGGCAGACTTGAAATGTGTGCTTTCTTCTCTTATTTTTTTGGTTAACAGCCCACCTAGTTAAAATACTGCAGGAGTCTGTGCCTCTACTCCTCCCTGGCAAGCTTGGCAGGCACTCTGCCAACTCCTCCTTTTCAGTTGTGAGGGAGAACAAGAATATCCTGCTGCAGCAGCCAGCTGGCTAACTTTTCCTGTCAAGGACTTAATATACTTCCATAAAGTATTCAGCTGTTGCTGGATGAGAGACAGAGTGCTCTACAGTGCCTTCTTCAAACAGTCCTCCTCCTTGACTAGCACAGACTGAATGGATGAAAGAACCATATGCAAAGAAACAGGAATGAGGGTACAAACACAGCCTTCATTCTTTGGATAATCAAAAGTCACCTAATTCATCTTAACCTTTAAGCCAAACATTTTCTCTCCAGGACAAAGGCTCACCAGACAAAAGTTCAGGCGAACTTGAAAAACCTTCAAGCTACTTACAGGTTTTATTGTCTTCTCACCATACTTAGCTCAAGTTTGGCTCAATAAAAGCTTTCTTGTATGAAGGGTGAAAACATTTCCATTCTCTTGAAAAGAGTGAAAAAAACCCAAAGATTTCCAATTTTGTTTTAAGCATGAATATTCCCTTTCAAAGTCTCTATCTCAAACACTGCATCGCTAAGAAAATGAAAATGGAAGCATGGAAGAATAAGTAGGACTTGTCTATTCTTACCTTATTTTCTTCATGAATAACAAATTCAGTCAGCACTGGAATTTCTGTTGCCATGGCAGCAGGAAGCCTACCTTTCCAGTAATTCGGATTACCTTGCTGGTTATTTCAGTCAGATGCTAGAACACTTGCTCCAGCTACTCACTCTTGCCTCGTTTCCCAGCCCTTCTAGAAACAGCCAGGTGCCAAACTGCACCCTCCTCCCTCTCCTGCCCAAGGGTCAGCACTCACACAACAAGTAATACTCAGCATCCTAGGGCAGCTCTTCCTTGGCAGCTGGCAACAGGCTGAAATAAGGATAGGGGCCTAGGAAATGAGAAGCTGAGCCCTGGGATGGGAAAAAAGAGCCAGAAGAGCCACGGGGCTCCTGCTCTGGTGTGAACACGGGGGCAGTGGAGAAAGGCAATGAACAGATGTGAAGCCAAGTAGATTAACTCAGGCAGCTGTGGCAGGAAGTGCCTGGTGAGAACAGAAATCCCCCAATCTTTCTCCATTCTGAGAACTCAAAACATTAAACTGCCACTCAAACAAACAGGTTACAAAATTAAAACAACCACAAATCACTCTTTTGTTGATCCCTTGCATTTTCAGAAGCCTGAGTTTCTTTTTAAACTGCTGCAGTTTGCAATATTTAAAAGCATGGAACCGCCATAAGCTGATTTACCCCACCTTACTGCTAAATTTACCACTTAGCTTTCACTTTGGAAGTCAAGTGTCCACTCTTGGGATATATGAAATAGCCTGTGCTGAGTTGGTTACTTTGGGTATTTTTAAATAAGGTGTTTTCTTTAGTCAAATATATTTTAGACTATTGTAATTTGGATTCAATGTATTTCTTAAAAGACCATTCTCCTGATACCAAAAATAATTAACAGATTGGTCCCTTTCTGCCATTACAGAACACGGAGAGTAAGGAGCAGGCAGTTATGTTGTGGCTGAATATACAACTTTATGGCTCTAATATGCAACTGTGCCTTAGCAGAATCTTAAGTACAGCTTAGCAGAATCTTAAGTACAGCTTTTACTTCAAATTAATCATATTAATGCAACAGACTTGCAATTTGCAGTCATTTTTAAAGAGATGCATTATTAACTTTCTGTTGTATGTAAGCATCAAGAGGCAGCAATTAAAAAGAAGAGCAAGTGAGGGGTTCTGCTTCCAATTCTGAGACTGCACTGTGCAGTCACTGATAATTTCTAGTGCTCTTCTTTTATGTGACTGTGTTATGCTGTGATGTTTAAGACACAAAAGCACAGTATTTAAGTACAGACCCAAAAAAATGGATTCAGATAAGTTAGAGATTCATACAAGTCCAGCACAATGCCTTCCCCCTACTCTTAGTGAGCTTTTTTATATTTCTGCATCTTCAGAGGCTCCTTCTTCCCACCCATCCTACCCTTTTTCTATCACTCTTTTGTCTGCACCTGATCTGACACTAAAGCAGATTTGCCCTTCTCTAAACAAATCTTTCTTCACCTCACCCTGTTCCAGTGAGTCAATCACTAAAACGCGATTGTCACAGATAATAATAATTGGCCCATTTCTGTGATGCAGTTTAAACGGAATAGTTCAAACCTTATAGACCTGAGATTAGTATTACTTTCATCCATTTAGAGGAAGTAAAAGAAGAAGCAAACTGCAAGAATTTTCTGCCACAGAAAGCCTGTGGAAGTAGGAGGTATCAGTAGATCCAAAAGGGGCTTTGAATGCTGGGGAATAAGGAGAGAATGGCAGAGGAATGACTGCTTGTGCCAGGCTGAGAGACAAAATGTTAAGCCAGCTTTTCTCAGTGCAGTGTTTATGTTTCCATGAAATGATTTTATCAGAGAAGGTCAGGGAAACACAAAAAATGCAAGAAGAAAAAGCCAACAAGCTTACTATGTCATGCCAGAAGATGTAGCCACATCTTCAGCTGTCCTTACAGATGTAATTGTATCTTTACAGTTGTTAGTTGTATCCTTACAGTTGCAAATAAAAGAAGACAAGGGAGGAACCCCAATGGCCAGAAATGGACACACTGACCCACAGGTCAGGATGAGCCCTTGCTCAAAGCTCATCATAGCTCTCCTCAGAGCACTCTAAAATACAGCCAGAAACCCAGCTAACAACTAAGGAACATGGAAAATCATGGGCTTGGGCCCCAGCTCACTCTCTGGTCCTCTTAGACACCAGTAAAGGAATGTAAAAGAAACCCACTCCTGGACTGAAGCCTAAAAGTGAAGGCAAAGGCATTTGCTTTACAGAGAGGGTGCTCCACTTGGTACTACAGTGCTTTTCAGAGCCATAATCTACAATTGTGACAGAAGAAGACAGAAGAGTTAAAAACAGCTTACATGCTGAGGTAGAGTTATATATGTAATAAGCACTTCATATCCCAGTGCAGTGGTTTTCAGCTGATGGCAGCAAGTGCCCAGGAATTCAGGGATCATTTCTACAAGAAGGGAGTTCATTGATGTGGTATGGCCTTCTACATGCAAGACCTTTTCAAAGGAATTTGCACAACCACTAGCTAGTCTTTTAGGGCCTTCAAATGCCCCCAGACAAATGTGAGATGTCTCCAAGAGAGGAGGACAAGCTATTTATCTTCAGAAATATTCATAATTTACAGTCAAATTAGCCAGGCATCTTCTGTTAAAATGCCTAGCTAATTGGAAATTTAAACATTAATACCTAAGCTATCTACAGATTCAAAAAAATGTTTGTGTTAATTATTTTAATTATTTAATCCTTTCGTGCTTCTTTATTGTCAGGTGAACAAGTTTTATTTTCAAGCAATCATTTAACAGGCTAGTGAATTAATTCTGAGTGCTGACCCGTTTCCTCAGTATCCTTTTGTCACTTCTCCTGGCTAAGTTATGTATATACGATCTTCCCTGTGATGAAACACAAGCAGCACAGATCTGAAATGTTCTGCAGAGAAGTGACCTTTCCACTGAAAGGCATACATATCTGTTCAAAGTTACAAAGGCATATATATCTGCTCAAAGTTACTCCTTTCATGGAGCAGATACAGAAAGAAATGGCAATGGCTAGACTCAGCCTATGCAGGAGAAACAAAAGATTACCTGCTCCTAATTCTATTTCTCTAATAACAGTAATCCACTGGCTTCACACGAAAAAAAGTCTGAAAACTTAGCTCTTCTAAAGTTGTTGTGAATCCAGGTTTTCATGAGAGCTTTGGGTTTGTTGACTTTTTTGAAGTAGATGGAGTTATAAAAGTCTCTCCTGTTCACAAAGGCTGCTCTCCTGCAGCTTGCTATTTCTACTTTGCTCTTCCTGAGATTTTGGCAAAGTCACAGAGTTGAGTATGTTGTGACACAATCAGCCATTTGAAGCGTTAGCTTTCCACTTGAATTTTATTTTTAGAATCCCCCATAGTTTTTCAAAGAATGCGTACCCATACTTTGACATTAAGTAAAAAAACTACGAAGAAAAGCTGAAGGGTCTGACAAACTCTAGAACATAAGTAAGCCTATGACATCTCTCTCACTTATAAAATAACTACTGCCTCATTTCTTTTATAAGCCCACAGATATGGCTGCAAACACTCATTTGCCACACAGAAAACCTGAAAGTTTCTACCTCAGAAGTACAAGTCACTAGCTTAAAAGTGACAGATCTTCAACTGGTGACTCTGAAATCCATCTGAGACGCTCAAAGAAAAAAAAAATCTAAAACACATTAGTCCTGAATACTTACAGTTAAAAGTTTCCCAGGAACCTTGAGCAATCTGCTCACTGCTGGCCCTGCCTTGAGCCAAGAGCTGGACCAGACTTCTCACAGAGTCTCTTCCACTCTATCATGCTATGAGTGAGTACACAAGTGCTTTCATGAAAAGCATTTTCTTTTGCCAGCCACCATGTGTTTATCATTGACTGCGGAGGTGTTTCTGAATTACTCTGCAACATCTAAGAGCAGAGAATACTGAGCCACATAACTTCTGGTGGCAGAGCTACTCTGTGTGAACCCAGCAATAAAAACTACTTGATAATGTCCTTTTATATTTGCTGAGCAGTATCTTTATATAAAAGCTTTGACAAAGCATACTCTTTTACATCAGTTTTCATGTATTACCTTAATTAATTCTGCAAAATCCCTCTTACTTCTGTTCACCAAAATGGCTGTATCTAAGATTCATTTCAAAAGGCAGCACTCTCAGAGGAGACTCCTGGATGATTTCACCATATAATGTAACCCAGCTTATGTCCAGTAACTCCAGTCAGCTGGAGACAATGTAAAGTGGAAGAGGATCCTGCTTATCCCTGCCAGCAAGCAGAAAGGCAAGGTGCTCCCTAACTCACAGTCACTCCAGATCCAGGACCTGCTGCTCTGCCCAAATGTCCTCCCTGCAGAAGACCAGAAAGAGAGCTATACAAGGATCTATGCAACCCATCCATACAGAGGATACAAAGATGAATGTTTACTAAGAAAGGACAAAACTGAGATGTTAGATGGGGGTGAGACGACAGTAGGGAATAAAATTGAGGGAATGAAGCAATGAAATGTGAAGAGTCATTGAAGAGCAAAAAGTCCCCCTTTATGCAGGAAGAACTAGTCTCCAAATGCTAAGCAACATCTACGCACAAACACATACTGCCTCACTATCTAATAAATGGAGATGATTGTAAATTCAATAAGAATCCTATGAAAATACAATGGCATGAGAACACGACTAGAATTATAAAAGCAAGGTAAACTGAAGTAAGAAAGAAAAACTTATTCCCGGTTCAACCAGAAAACCAGGTAAGAAGATAACAGTGAAAGAAATGAGAAGAAAAACTCCCTGCTGCTGTACTCTGCATGAATATTTGCATCTGCCAACAGGCCATCAAAAAGCAAATTGGCACTAAGTCATAATTCACCATTTGCTATTTATATTCTGGCAGCATTATGTTTGTGCAATTTCTATCAAAGCCTCCAGTTTGGGGATGGGGATAAGAAAAGAAGATATTGTAATCTACTTCTGCGACTGCTGTTTGTATTCACTGAGTTATCTGGCACTTGATGTGTGCCTCATGCATCACTTTTTATTCAAAAATTGACATATTTATCCAAGAATGATTTTAACACGGTAGCCTGATTCAGATACACACAAAAGCTTTGGCAGACATTTTCAGCCATGCATTTTATGTGATTTACACATTGGCATGCAAAAGACAACATTTAATTCTGCGTGCGTATTGTAATCACAGCCTAGTGGAGAAAGCTCACTGGAGCAGTGCAGATAAATTTACAGGTAAGCAGCATATTAGTAAGTTTCTGAAGGTTTTTAAATCTGGGAACTGGTGAAGCCCTTTACCAAGATAAGACACACTGCTTTAATCACTGCATCAAAGCTATAAAGGTTTCTTTAGATAATTTTAAGCCAGTCTAATTTCACTTTCAAACCACAAATTATCTGAAGTAAAAATTGGATATTTCCTCCCACTCTCAGAATTTGAGTATGAATGAGAATGTGACTATGCCATTACAGAAAGCATCCCTAGTTCTGACTGTAGATACAGCCTTTACAAGAGATGAGCACTTTCTCCCCTATGCAGCAGTGTACATGGCTTGCAATACAGACTTGATACTGCAGTGAGGAAGGACACATCACAGAATGAAGCTGTGTAAAAAGCCAGGAAATACACCCAGGACTCCTGCATCTTTCCACACTGCTGGTCTCCTGTTTCTTTGGAGAATACCAATAGCAAGGAATTGAACCAGCAGTTACAAAAGAGATGCAGAAAGGAAAAGAGAACAAAAACTATAAGCAATACAAGAGGCCATGTTCTAGTGCCAAGAAAGGAAGGAACAAGAGGTATCAAATGAGAAGACTAAGGAAGTGCTAGAACTTGAACTAATGTCAGCGGGTTGTGTTATCACCAGGCAAAAATTGTTGATAGATCATGATCAACTGAGAATAAACTGGAAGTGAAATTAATGGACAGTTTAGAATATTCTGCTGTTCTTTTATCCTGCACTACATAAGCCTCTGTTTGCACAGATAGCTTTCTGCTCAAAACAATGTTGGAAAGCAGCTGCACAGGGAAGCCAAAATCAAGGAACCTTCATCCCTCAAACAGGGTAAAGAACAAGTTACAGGCAGATATGCTTTTGCAATTTAAGATACTGAAAATCAGTGCTCTGAGTGGCCATTCACCATACTCTGCGACAATCACATACCAGGAGTACTTTACATACAAGCCCAAGTTTTCTCTTCTTTTGCTCAGTGCAGAACTATAAACTGGGTGTGCTTTAAAATGCCTCAAGCCTAACATGAGATTGTGCTCTTGGCAAAGCATCACACTTATGCATTTCTCTACCTGTGGACAACACACACTTTTTAAATCCAGGAGGTGGAGAAAGGCAGCTATTTTGTCCCAGAAAGTTATCCCATTCATTTATTATGCCTCTCCAGAACATCTGTCTAGAAGCATGGACAACTGTTTTTCATAAGGAGCTTAAGGCAAGTAACTTAAGCTCGACCACCTTGTGTTAACAAAGAATGGGCTTAAGTAAATCATGTCATGCATGTTTACCACAGCAGCAATGCACTCTTTCTCCATGGCACACTTTATCCTGCAACTTTTACACTCTTCCCAAAGGTAAGTGATACAGAGAGGAGCTTGGTGAGAGGACAATCCCCATAGCAGGAACTGCTGGAAGAAAAAAGAAGAGAAATTTCCTCTCCTGTTATGAATTCAACCCTGTCTGGCCACTGATTCTGCTTGATTTTATTGATGTTGATAACCATTATATCCATGTCGTTTGACTGCATGCAGGTGGTGAGGATGTTCCTTATCTTGATATCCAGCTGATCTGTTTCAGCTATGAGGGATCCACATCTACACTGGATCTACAAATAATATATCACAGCATTTTTCCTTAACGTTTTTTAAACTGTACAATACTGTTTTATAGTTAAATGCTACACAAACACAGTTGGACTCAAAGATCTTAAAGGCCTTTTCTGACCTAAATGATTCTATGATTTCCTACTACTACTGGAACAGAGAAAAAGGAACATGTAGGGATATACGAGACCTCCAGAGAGCAATTAATCTCATCCTAAAATACACATTTGAGACAGGCATCATGAGCAACCTATTCAATGCACCATGCTTTCACCCTAGTATGGATGAAAATAATTAGCTGAGGCTTTGACATCTAGCTTTTAAAAATTTCAAGAATGGAAGAGGTGAACCTCAGTCTCAGGGGAAGGATGCACACAACATGCAGTTCAGCTCCCCTCCAGCCTCTGGCCAAAGGCAGAATATCCCTCCCATCACCCCTGAAACAGGAAAACGTAGAGGTAGAAAAATCTGGGTTTGTACCACTAGATACCCATACATGTACAGTCTGAGAAGGAGAGATGGCAAACGCCTCCCACTGTTCCTTGCACATTTGTCACCTCCAAACAGGTGGCCCAAAGAAACAACCCATAACTGGGGAGATGCCCATGCTCCCCATACAGATCATCAATCCAGCCTCACCAGTACTCACAAACAGCCTCACCAGTGCATATCAACCTACAGGCATAGACACTCCTACCGAATTTAACAGCATGATTTCAGTGATCAGTCAGGGCAGTAGAGATCACAAACGCTCCCACAATGCCTCTGCATCCACAGCTGCCCTTCCTGTGCCAGCTCCATCCTCCGCTTTGTGCTGGCTCACACATTGCTGCATGACTTGGTGAGTCAGCTCAACAAGAGAGGTGAAAAGGCAATATTTGAGAAGCCTTCCATGATTACAAGTTAGGCTAATTCATTCAAGAAAATTACATGCATTTCCCAGTTATCTTCAAATACATGAATCTAGTCTGAGAATGGACTGGATTTGTTGGCACTTAAAATTACATTACCGCTTATTCTATTTATCCTACAGAATCTTAACAAAGAAATCAGCAGTTCAAACAGTCTGCTGCCTCAGATTACAGAAGTTTGCTTGTGGATTAATTTCTCACCCACTTTGGAAAGCATATAAATTATTAACACACATCACTAAAATACCCTGTCTTTCAACAAAGACATTCTAAACATTTGTCAATAAAAATCAGTTTACTGAGCAGCCACTAACAATATTCTGCTGAGAAAAATACAACCGATGTGTTTGAGAGTTGAAGAAAAAAATCACTTTTCTTGTAATTTCAGAAGACCCAGCAGAGCTAGCGTGACAATTAGGGAATATTTAAATGCTTGATATTCACTGGAAATAGTCTGACAGCAATGGCCAAATAATTTCAGGCACGAGAAGAAAAGAAAGTCTCAGACTGATGAATAACTGACATTTGACCTGCTGTTCACTTCCTAAGCTGGAAAAAAAAGCAATTCATAATTGAACTGAAGTTGAAGCTGGCTAAGAAAGCATAAAACACTGTTTTACATTTCTGCATTGCCCTACTGTCTTCATGCTCTTTTATTGTTTATTTCACTGGTTATACTTGCATATTGAGGAGAGGTGTAAATACCTAGGACAAGGCAATTATCATAACCCACAAATTAACAAAAAATAATTCAAACATTTATAAAACTGTGGCTGAAATTTTGAATTTAACAGATAACACAGCACTTGCGGAAATTTTTAAGAAAGCACATGTAATGTTTGTTATTAACTATTGAGACTTTATAATATTTAGTTTTTCCTGGCATACATTCTGGCTTGAAGCTGGTGGCTTGAAGCTGGTGGGAGCACAGTTAATAGACAGCATTTTCCCTACAAAGGGAGTATGAACCACCACCATATGACTGCATGAACAAACAAAACCAGCCAAACAAAACCAGCCAAACAAAAAA